TACTCCTAACATTTCCAATTTTTCTAGGCTCGCCTCTGTAAGGACGAGGTATACTAAAATTCGTTCACCCCTCGCAAGAAAGAAAATCATGTCGCACGGACTTTTTACGATTAAAAATTCGAATTATTTATATCTACACAATGACCAAATATCTACTCCTAACATTTCAAACGCTACAAGGACCTGTCTTCTACCAACTAGCGAAAACACGTCAAAAAATGATAGGATTTCTTCGTTCGTGTCGTTGTCTTGTCAGAAACGTTCCTCTCGGATGCCAATGACACACGGATTTCCATCTATTCCCTAAAGAGGAGAGATCACGGCGTGGTACGCGAAGAGGCTTGAATTTTGTCGACCACGCGAAAAAAGGACAAAGGCTACGGGTTTTATCTGTTACGAAGCGTTATACGCGGCCCACGCACGCCGCGGCCGCTGCTTAGGCTACCTACGTTACACAGCGATAAAAATTGTTTGCACGAACGACAGAGCCGCATCGTGGATACATAGATTGCCACGCACCTAAGCGCGCAAACGCCGAGTCCCAGATTTTTCCGAGAGATCCGAGATGGCATAGAAATGGGAAAGTGTTTGGTGACAAACACTTTCCAACGAGGGGAAAAAAAAACTCGATTTCACGCCGCTGCGAAACGAAGTGCGACGTATCAAAAGCTCCAACGTGCGATTAAGCGCACGTGGTAGAGGATTCAATATAGGCCAACTGAACAGCTTGTCTTACAGGCAACACCTGTAATTAGGATGCGTTCGTGAATATGTTAAATCTGTGAAATTTGATTCTAATCAGGAGTGCAGATTGGGTTGCAGATTGTTTCCGTACAAGTTCTAGTTGAATCTAATATTCATCGTGAAATCTTGCCTCGGTAAATATTTGAACATCTATACAGGTCGAAACGAAAGTCAAGAAATCGTCGTATTCAATACAGGCCAACTGAACAGCTTGTCTATTTTTGGTGATAGATGAAAATAACGAAAATCGATGTTTTCGAAGGGAATCTAATTTTATGTCGATAGTCTGTCATTGTCTAATTACATTTTACCAATGCTTACATTTTTTTTAACCTATACATTAAGTTTTTTTTTTGTATGCGATCATCAAATATCATGTTATCATAGACAGTAGTTCCAGCTACAAAACCATATTATTAAGTCACTCCATAAATGCGTGCCAATTATTGTGTTCATATTTCGTTAAAAACTACAGAAGTTTTGTAGCAACGAGTGATTTTGCCAGAAAAGTAGGAAAAGATCGTAAACACATATTACTCCCCAATAGTAGAACAATAAGTCGCATGAACTCGTGAGACGATCTGAATTCTAATACGTACCACGAACGAACGTTTCAATTGTAATTGTACAGGGAACGCGAAGCTACGGAACGAAAGATAAGATCGAGCGCATTTATTTACCAAGTAGAAGTTTTTCATCGTCTCTCGCCACCGTCCTCGAAGGACAGTAAACGCAGGGAGGTCGAGTGTGTATCACTGTACGCAAGAAACGTAAACGCGCTCGCTTACGTGGAAAAAAAATAAATACGACTTTGCTCGAGTCAACCAGCACGAATTAATAATTCGACTGATCGATAGAAAAACCGCGTTATTACAAAATCGTGATCGCACGAATTTAATTAGTTCTACCTAGACACATCCTAGCTGGGACAGAAGCCATTTTTTTTCCAGTCATGAATATTCGTTATATAAGGTCGAATAGGATTTAATGATTATATCTTTCGTTTCAACTACTCCCGCGAATTACCTAACTGGGTAGTATTATTTCAGTTTCTATCGTATAAACGCGAAGTCTCACAAGTTCGAACATTTTATTTAAAAATAAAGACCTACGTTATAAGAAGTTTAAGGGAAATGAAAAATATTTATCGAGGTATCTGAGAAAGATTAATTCGGTATTCTTTTCACACGATTCTTTTTCAGTTCAATTCTGGAATCTTGAAACGTTTACTTCGAGAATAAACAGTGATGGAAAATTGAAATTTTGCAAACATCTTTATCTTCAAATATGATTTGAATTATCAAATTTAGAAGGTGGGATTTTGTTACTGTTCTTTACGAAACATATATTTTTCCTCTTTTCGATGTTATATTCCTGTCTATTTTCTTGTATTTGAAATTAACTGATGATTGATAATTAATGCAATAAGTAGTGTATTGTCTTGAAATTAATTCAAACGCGAAGGGTTTTCCCTACCACTCATTAATCCACTATATGTCGAATAGGTTAAAGAGGTCTCTGACTGTATATCCTCCAATCAATTTTTCCAAATAAAATCATAGTTTCGCGAATAAAATTCCGTTCTAGAAATAGCAACGGCCGTGAGCATAATTAATTCCGAGCCAAAGCTGAATGAACGATATCAAACGTAATGTACATTACTAACAAAGCGACTCCAGAATGTGAAATCCGTTCTCGATATTCCGTATTCGGTGTCGTGACGTTTACAAGGAAACAGATTTACAAACGCACACGGAAATGATCGCTAGTTTACATGACATGGCTGACTTGCCGTCAGCTGATAGATAAAAGATTCCGAGACTTCCCAATGCACGCGCGTAGTTTTCATAACCTAAAACTCTCGCAATAACGCGGCTAATTTCATTGCTTGGAATCTTTCATAGCGTGTCTATGCCATAAAATTAATTCTCTACTTTATATTTCATGTCTGTATTGCGTAATAAAGTATAGAGGATTATACGTATACGAGATAAGCAATCACGGAAGAAAATAAAGTGTGCAACGAGATTATAGCATAGAATACTTGGCATCCTCGTGGAAATTCAAGAATCCTACCAGAGTCCTCCAGAATGAATTTTTAGTTCCTCCGTGAAAAACTCGTACATGGGTGGCGTGGCGATCGACGCATTAAAAGTTGTCAACATTGTTTAACATTTAGAATGATTAAAACTCTGAATGGAGGATAATATATAATAATTGAAATGTAAAGATAAAAATACTATTCGTTCGAATGAATGTAAATGAATCGTTACTCGTTTGTAATCTTTATTAACTATCATTGGATTAAAAATTTGGCCACCTCCTGCTATCGATTTAAAACGGTCACGTTTATGCGCTAATAATTAGAGTGCGAATTTTATGCATTTCTAATACAAGTTAATGTAATATGATATGTTTTCCGTATAATTGTACGTCGTACATATTAGGTTGTCCCGAAAGTTTCTTTCGCGAGTTGCACTCGATTATTTTATGTGGTCGTGTTTGTATAAATAGACAATCAAACTTCATAGATATTCATGTTGTAACAGTAATGGAGGAAAATGAATCGTGCACAATTCAGTAATGTAACATAAAACATAAACTATTGTGCATGTATTACTTATTAATATAGCGAAAGAAACTTTCGGGACAATCTAATACATAAAATCCGCAGTCTGCTTACAACCAACTACATTCGTTTCTACACACTGTACGCGTCACACGATACAAACTAAAAGGACATTCATTCCGGTAATCGTAAGACCACGTTAAGCGTAAAGAGTTAATCGTTAAATCCTATTTAATCTGACACGAATAATCTCTCGTGTTGTGAATGCCGTAAAATTAAATCACGTTCACGCGTATCGTTCGTTCGCGACACAGCGAAAGTAAACAAAGAGGACCAGTGAACGTTGGTGAATTGATCGAACGTTTCGCAAGTAATAGAAGGGGAGTCGCAGAAATTCCTTGTCTCTCTGTGCTGTGTTCTTGTTAATTCATATTTCCAACGATACACCACCCTCAGAGCTCGCTGTCTTTGTCTCTCTCTTCGCCTCTGTTCTATGCCTTCTTTGTCAGCGCTAAAGAAGACTGCAAATTCGATTGACGCACCGTGCAATCGAATTCCAACAAGGAAGCCGGCGCGAATAGTTCGACTGTCGTTCGCTAACAAGTTGGAAAACCGTACAACGCGCATCGTGTACGAAGCCAAGGGGGCGCGGTCGTAAATCTCGCGTAAAACGAGAAGAAAAAAAAGTGCGACTACGTGCAAGCTACTGCAGGAATGCAGAAGGAACGTTAGAGTGGAAGAGAGGAAACGATGGACAGTGGAAGACAGAGATAAGAGAGAGATCGAGAGAGCGTCGTGTGATCCTTTTGTATATACGAGCATGTGTAATACGTACATGTATGTGTGCGCGAAGGGCCGCTCTGCGTGCACGACCAATCAAACGTCGAGTCACTGCACTTTGTCGCCTTTTACTTTTTACAGCTCACATTACCGCGCGCTGTTCGCGAGACCCCGGTTTACAGTTCGATTGTGCACCACATTATGCCGATTTATCACTGGTCACATTCTACCCGAGGAACGTCGCGCGATTCATTGCCCACCCACCATTGGCATCTCGTGCTCGCTTTGACTGGCCTCCTTCGACTGCGCGACAACTACCTGCCCACTCTACCCGTACCGCAACTGAACGCCGACTGACCGCCGACTGCCGAGAGTAGCCGAGTGCGTTCGAGTGAGATTCCCCCACTCCCCACCACAGGAGCCGCTGGAAAATCCTGCATGATATGCCGCGCCATTTTCCAGCAAGATGGCGGTACGCTCTTGCGTTTTTAGCGCCATCTTACGGTCACGATGGAAATTAAATTATCTTGAATTTACGGATATGTATGACTAAGAAATTCGAATGAAAAATGAAACTTCAATACTTTTTTTTAAGTTTGACTGCACGTAGGGGACTATTGGTAGCTACTGATAATTAAAACGACGTATCACGAACGAGTGAGCGAGTTTTATTTGTAAGGGTGCAAAGTCGTGTGACCTGACTATAATACCTAACGTACCAGTCTTACATTCGTTTTTCAATTTTCTTACTTTGCATAACTCTCTTCATAATCTTTTGGCATCAACATTATGAATGCTGTCTGTTAGGGCCCACTGGCCCCCCCCCTTTACCTCGGGTACCTCGGGATTGCTAAACCCGTACTGTAGCTACCATCAAATCACTGAACTTTACTAAACTAGTATTAGAAATAGTAATAAAATTAGTATGTAATACTAGTATTAGTATAGCTCAGTGAATCAAATAAAGAGATTATATAGAGATTAATGTAATCATTTTGAAAATAACATAGCTACAGCCTCTGAGGGACATGTTATTAGAAATGATGTAAATGAGGTACCATCAGTGGAAAATCCACTGTGTCGATAATGTCGATATATTGAATTTAATGGTATCATTTATCACAAATGAAAACTATTTCTTTTGGCAAATTTTATTGTTTTAATAAATAAAATTCAAAGCATCTGGAAGTATCTCTGATTAATTACAAGAATTCCCTTTATATGAACAGCGTAGAGCGTAGAGGATCATTCTGAATCATTCTTCACATGCGTCGAAATTTATTATAACAGTATAGAGTTTGTCACAACTTGTATTGCAATTCATTGATTTAAAGTGAAAATGCCGAAAGTAGTTTCTAGAAGCATAATATGCTCCGATACTAAGGATCAAGAAGAATACAGCGAAGAAAAGCCACTACACATTTATTATTGTTTATGTGGACAGATGACGTTAATTTTAGGTTAGAGACGTCTTAGTTTACATTTCTTATTTTATTCTGAAGGAAACTACAATTGAATGTATATTAAATGTATATACATTTTTACAGATTGTGCCATAGAAAAATTGCCTTTAAGGAAAAGAGATGGTGCACGAGTTATTGATGGAAGCAAACATGCCCATAAAATGACTTGCGAGCAAGATGAAATTGTATATTTGAAACGCTCTGAAGGCATAGAAAAACAACATCGTCAGAAGTGTAAAAAGTAAGAAATATTTATGTTCATTTTTAAATATGGTTAATGATGTTTGTAAATATTGAAAAATAGTTTTAAGAATTACAGTTGTTATCAGTACTTGTACCGTGAAATATTTCTGCAAGTTGTAACAAAAGGTATTAATCACAAATTGTACATATACTTTAACAGATGTGGACTTTTCCTGTATTATAAACATGACCCAGGAACAAACATTGTATTTATCGTCAAAGGTGCAGTGATTAAAAGTTCTGGTGAAGGTCCTATGACCGACATATACAATCAAGTTGCTATTGAAAAGCCCAAGAAAATAATGGTGACAAAACACACAAAAAATATGGGAAAATTCAGTTCAGTTACTGTTTCTACAATTGATGAAGAGGAAGATGAAATTGAAGCTGTAAGTTAACTATTTATATATTAATAATTTAACAAAAAAAAGATTATATATTTCTCAAAGAAACTAAGGTAAAGTAAATTATTGCTTGCAAGAGAATCTACTGAATCAATCAGTTTCATAGTGGTTGTTAATATTTGAATGAAAATTTACAATGAAAGACTACATTGATATGGATGGAGTTTGTTATAAATTTTATTAAAAATTGTAAAAATATGATTCTAAATTCAGAAATTTATCTTTCATGTTTTATAAAATGCAATGTATATTTAAAATATATTTTATATTTTCAGAGAGAAGTTGCTGATTCGTATGCTAATAATGCTCGAATAATAGAGAAACAATTAGAGAGGAAAGGAATGAACAAACGAAAAGCCATGCCTCCTCCTGAAGCAGATCCAAAGAGAACAAGACCTAGAGGAACATTATTGGATGTATAAATATTAGTTACATATTATTATGACATATTTAAACTAAACAATTGTATATAAAAAAAGAGGATTCCAATCAAGAATGTAAATATTTTATACATTTGAACTAATATTCTTATTGTCATATACCAACACCTTTCGGCAGCAATGACTCAAAGAATTAAACAGTCAGTTAACATTATATCGAATTATTTATTAACATTACATAAAAGTAAATATTTAAAATATATAAATGACTAGATACAAATATTGCATAGAAATGTACATTGCAAAATATAGATATAAATGTAATAAATAAATACAATAACTACATATAATTCATTAATAAGGATCACTGGAGGGTAAACGGAGTTCTACTTACAATCAGAATTAGTTAGTAAGATGGCAACATCAAATGGTAAGACAAGGAATTACTTTACATATACTGCAACTAGTAAAATTAGTAAATAATTCTACGAAACAATTTTGGATGATATGGCTCCTCAATGTGGAAGAAAAAAAGATCTATCTAAATATATCATCTAACTGGCCATGTTAGATCTATGATCTATAAACATGTGGTGTATAATACTATGACATATTAATGCGCACATTGGTTGAAAACGGGATAGGATATTAAGCTAGTTGCATTTGTGACCAAAAGTAACGTTATCGTTATCCTAGTTGTGCAGTATAATAAACTAAACTCAATCGAATGTCCAAGATGTCTCTAAGAGCCTCGAATTCCTATTCACTGCCAGAGATCAGAAAATTGAAAAAATGATTTAATTTGAAACCTGTATATTCCTAGTGCCATATTTCATTTATAGTTACCTTTAATATTACAACAAAATCATAGCACATTTTCTATATATCTAATAAATGCATTTCAAATATATTCCCTTTGACGATTATGCCAACTGCAACTTGCGTTAAATTAAAATTACACATATTTCTATTTTTACACATAGTACGATTCCGCAATTGGAATTATCACGTTTGCGATTACAGATGATAGTTTTATATATAATTCATAAAACTAATAGCCGCGATGTATGTACAAAAACATACGCAGCGACTGATCTATAAATTTAAGTATTGATCTGAGAAGATTTAATATCTGCTTTTTTAAGTATCGTGGGCTCGTCTTTTAGAAAGGTTCCCGATCTAGAGCCCACCATAGGTTGTTTGGCAACTTCCCCATTATGGCACTTATTTTTTACCTTTTCGTCGCAAGGGGTCTTACTAGTTGTTCTTTTATTTACGACCGCAGCAGTTTTACTTATTCTGTTAGTGCCAGATGATTTTGGGGAAGATCTTTTGCTAGGGCTCTCGGAACCCTGTTGATTCGGCACTCCTTCTTTCTTATCTTTCTTTACGGTAGGGTGATTGCTCATGGATTGCGTAATCGGTCGTATATTTGTGGGTTTACACGACACGTTATTCAATGACTTACTTGGAACATCGGGTGTCTTAGCAGCATCTAGAAGACTTCTTCGCAAACTAGGCGAACCATGGTAAGCGCTTATAGCTGCTGCCCTGCTTCTACTTGCCGCAGTCGAACTTTCCAAAGATCTAGGCGTTCTTCTTGCTATAGTGAGCGGGCTTCTTGTTTGTATCGGCGGCGAACTTTTCTTTGCTTTGTCATAAACTTGCACCTTGTTCGTTGTCTTCCCTAAAGTCGGTGAAAGTTTATTTGACGCATTTGATTTAGGCGTTGTTGTGATTTCAGTCATAAGACTGTCCGTAGACATCGATGTATCCATTTTACTCGTTTTCTTTTTAGCAATTGTCGGCTTATTTTTCGATTCTGCTAAAGAATCCACAGATAAACCTATTTCCGCGTTTTTCTGTTTAAAAGTTGGCGACTCTGGCCGTGTAATGCCGCAGCTCTTGCTAAGCAAGTCTTTTTTTATGTTCGTTCTAGTTGCGTTAGGTTCTGTTAAACTGTCCGAAGAAAGAGCTTTCACGTCTTTTTTAATGGGTAATTTGATCTTTGCTAGTGTCTTTTTCTCGGTGGCGCGTTTCATTGCCGGGCTAGACGTTCGGGATGAATCCGAGGACGAAATCATTATTTTTCGACGCGGTTGAACGATTATCTTTTCCGGGTGTGTTGGTTGTACAATTTCTTTAGGAACAGATTTATTTCTGGGTTCCAAATACCTCGATTTTACCTACAAATTTGTATATTAAAAATATAAAATAATAATATTGGACTTGTTAAATGTCACTTAACGCAATTTATAATTTTGATCATTGGAAAAGTTGATAAGCCCATGGATTACCTCTATTTTATTGGGCCACGATTTCGGTCTACTTGTATCTGCAGTAGTCGGCTTATCATCTTGCATTTTACGTTCCAATGGATCGCTTTTTGGTTTGTTAATCACCTTCTTTGTTTGTTGTACCGTCGTCATTTGTTTTAAAGTTCTGTCATTATGTTCAGAAATAACCATTTTTACGCGCTTCAAATCCAAACTGCGATTCGTTGTTAAACGACTCGACACTGGTCTTGTTTCCTAAAAAAAATCAATTTCTTATAATCATAAGCATTCTATAAATTTCATTTTATTTATGTTTCATGTAACGTTATTTACTTTTACAAAGTTAGAATGCCTCGATTGACGTTTCGAAGTTTCATGAGGTAGAATCACAAGGCATGCCAATTCTTGTATTCTACGTCGAAGCTCTAGGTCCATTTTTAACCATGTGGTGGTTCTTGCTGCTCGTGCTGCGTCCCTGACTAAGCACTTTTCCACGCGGCACTGAATTTTTTTCAAAAAGTCAACAAACAGAGGACCCCATTTAATTTTTTCTTGAGCTTCATCTAGTTGCGCGGAAGCCAACATTTTATGTAACTTTGAATAACTTTTGCATGCCTGTTCGGGAGGCAAACGTTCCGCAGCCGCCAAGAAATTATCCTCTAAACGACTGATGTTCCATGTTAATTCGCGACCAAGAGATTGAAAATTCTCGTTTCCCAGTACCCCTGAGAAATTATCCGATAAAAACTTTACCGACGTTTCTAACAAATTTGACACCATTCTAAACACTGGTTCTGCCCAACGAATATTTGGCAAGGTTGCAAGGAGCTTGTCGCAATCCATCATAGTTTGAAGTACGTTGTCCGTAGACTAGTAAAGAAAGTAAATGTGACATCTTTGAAAATCAATTAAAGGATACATTAAATTTCACATACCATGTGTACAATATGTTGGTGGTAACATTTTTCCATGAGTTCTCGTGGAAGGGTTGCGAATGCTTTACACGGCCATATTCGTACAAAATGTCTGGTAATCCATCGAAGAGATTTTCGATACACTTCGTCGAGACCATAAGCCGCTGCCAAGGGCATACATTCCAATACGCCAACAGCGCATATTTGACAAGGCTGCAACATGTATGGACAACAGGTGAATAGTTACGTTAATTGGAAAATGCATTTTCGAATAATATACAGACGCTGTAAATACCTTATGGAATAGATGACAATATTTAACTTTAAGCGTATATCCAATAACTTCTTTAAGCCCTTCCAAGCATAGCATATCAGCTAATGTTGCCAATTCAACTATACTTATAGAATCTGGTATGTTACTTTCGCCACTGTATATGTGACACAATGCAAAATGTACCGCATCGTACGAATATCCTTGCAAAGAAATAACATTCCCTGCACTTTCGATCCATCCTCCGCTAAGAATCGCCGCAAAATATTGACAACGAGAACTCAATATACATTTGTGTGCTCTTATACGACGACCAGCTACATCGATTGTAACGTCTGTATTAATTTCTTCTAAGAACATTCTTAACAAATCTTCTCCCAATCGATTATACGGTCTTGCTCCCGCTAAACTCGACGTTTCAGTTTCTTCTGTACTACCTTCTGAAAAAAGATACGAATTAGTATAGAAATGAGAAAAAAAAAAAGAAGCACATAGTACAAATTATTTACCAGCCCCAGAACGACCCATGCTACTCTGCATACTGCTCAAATCAGATTCCGATATGATACCTTCGCCATCATATTCTCCCGTTAAGTCTTCCAGAGGAGACTTTTGCTTAGACGGTAGAGAAGTGCTCATGACAGAAGGGAATTTTCTAGGAAGTGGCCTAACAGAGCCATTCGTTCTCGACATAACCAATTTACTTTCGATCCAAGAAGTTTCTGGAATACTGTTACACATACGATACGCAGTTCTATCTTCTTTTATAGTTAACATATCCGTCGTATGAGATGCAACAGGCGTTTTATCCAGATCTGACAATCGCACAAAGTTCGATGTTGTCGCTTTGAGATTAAGTCCCATGGTCCTCTCGTTTTTCTTCGCCGTTGCATTATGTTTCGCGTTATGATTGTCATACGTTGCCTCTGGCTTCGTATAGTCTGGACTTTTCAATTCGCTTTCAATTTTCTTGATCGTTTCGTTCAAAGATTTATGAGTTTCAGATATTTTATTACCTACAGCAGGAATTACTTGGGTTCGATCTATATTTGGCACTTCACCATTTAATAACTCGGATAATTCGTAATCGTGATTATCGCTATCGGGAGATGGTCCGCTACCGCTACTAATGTCAAACGTTTCGCTTTTACGTGTCTGTCCTTCGGTACTCTCTGTACACGTTTTCTCCCACGCGGAGGTTTCCGAATATTCGTCTTCGTACGCTTTAACATCGGTAGCGTTAAGGTTCTCCGTAGTTCGTTCGGCTTTTAATTCCGTATATTCGTGTTCTTTTACACTCACGCGAAGTTCCTCGTTAATTACTTCGACGTGAGAATTCGGAGGTGTATCTCTTACATCGTATTCGAAGACATCTTCCGAAGATGTGTCCATGTTACTTACGGCTCCGTTTCCTTCCTGAAGAAATTTGGAATTTCTCTGACTAGCACATTCTGATTTTGTTGCATCGCTTAAAGAATGATTCGAAGAACTTTGTTTCGCTTGTAGTTTCTTCAGGTCGCCCCGATCTACGGAGAGACTATGCGCACGTTTGTGCTCTTTTCTGAACATTATTTCTTTTGCAACGTGTCCATTGTTATTAGCACCTTGGGTTTTATCGACGTTCCAGGAGTGCCGTTTAAACGCTGGCCGAGACGAAGACAGAGTTCTTCGTCTTACCACCGGAGAATCGGAGTCTATGTACATAAATACTGGTTTAACTTTTTCTTTAGTAGATTTTTGATCGCTCGACGATTGGTCTGGCCTACTTGTTGTACTGTTCTCGCTGGAATTAGTATCGTTCAACTTTGTTTCCACTCGTTTATCACAAAATGTAGAGAAACTTCTCCTGTGAGTAGGTTGTACAGTACTTCCCGTGCTCTTAGACGAATCACTTAAATCGATAAACATGGAGAAAATATTTTTCTTGTCACCTCCTTCGATAGGCTTTTCAGATTTGTTAGTAGTCTCTTCCGTTTCCGGTTTCTTATTTTTCGCCGCAGCATTTGTACTGGATATATCAACGTAAAATTCGCAATAAGATTTACTACTGCCATTCTGTTCTTTCTTCTCTGCTGTACACAGCTGTTGCTGTGTAACAGGTTTGCGATCCATATCTTTTAGATTAACAAAGAAACCCAAACTACCCTGTTTGTCGTGAACACTCGTTTTTCTGACAGGTTTCTTGACACATTCGGAAGTTGAAAAACTTTGGGACATGCCTACATGGGAATTGTTCGTCGATTTGGTTTCGGTTTTGTTGCAATCGCTCATATCAACTACCCAAGCAGTCATAGAAGAAGCCATTCTTGCAGGTTTTGTTCTCGATTCAGGTTCACCCATAATAACGGAACCCCCCGAAACGATAGGTGTTGACTCAGTCTTCCGACGGACAGTAGGACTATCGGTAGGCTTAGAGTAATCCGAAGTGCTAACACCGCCAGAAATAATAGGTGTGTTCTCGTCACACTTAATCTTCTTTAGCGTGTCTGTTCTATTACCTTTTTCTAAAATGAAATTTAGCGTAACAGGCAAACTGTTACTACAACTGGTCGACGCATCTTCCAGCTCTGCATGGTAATCTATAACCTCTTCACTGGCACTTTTCATTACAGGATAAATTATACCAGTTTTACTGTCACTTTGCAGAGAATTATTATTTTCTGGCGGTGTCTGATTAATCTCATACTTCCCACTGTCTAATGATAGATATGGTATTGCATGATATTGAGTACTAGATGGAATTTGAACATCTATATTAAACTGGTTCATTACAGTGCTTACAGGAATTGGAGGTTCATCTGGCGGAATAAAACATGAATCACCATCGACGCGATGCCCTGAATATTGAGGTATAGCATTTTGAAACACAAGATTACCTTGTCGTCGTTCATACTCTTGTCTTAAGACTGATATCTTTTCGTCATTAGGATCTAGTTCAAATGTATTTCTCCTAATGAGAGAAGGTCTCCGAGTATCTTCGACTAAATTTGTATCTTTGTCGTTCGTTTCTGTTTTATTAATTACATTAACAATGGTATCATTGTCGTTAGTTACTCGCGATATGACAGGTCGATCATTGTTTATATTTTTATTATTGTCAGGACAAGGAGAAGGGTGTGCGCTTTCGCCACTGTCTGCTTCTTTAATTTCTACAACCAAAGATTCTTTGTTCGTTTCTGCGTTTACATTTATTTTATCCTCGGATGTAGAATCAGTTCTTCTTATCTTCCGTGTATCCGTAAGCGGTTCTAAATATTCTGTAAGTTTTAATTCTCTTTCGAACTCTGCCACTCTTTCGTGTCCTGTTTGTAAATTAGAAGTTTTTAAAGACGTAAATTTATAACACTGATCGTCCGCAAGGTCATTAGAACTACTTGCGACATATTCAGAAGAATAACAGGTATACGATTGTGGCTTGCCATCAAAGCACTGATTGTTAGTTACACTCGAAGCTAAAACTTCTACTTCGTCATTGAGAGTCGATGCATCGATAAAATAATAATTGCTTGCATTAGAGGAACTTTTTTGTTTCGGTATATTGAAAGACACTTCAAGTCTTACATTTTCCGATTGTGCATTTTCACTTTGAGAATAACTGGAATGGCGTAACTTTTCATCTTGCTGCTTTCCCGTGGATTCCCCCTTTGCGGATTCCTTGTCTACATCGGTGCTCACAGAAGATGCGTTACCGAGATCAATAAACTCAAACGACTCGTTTTCGTCGCTACCGCAATCTGACTCATAAAATGGATCGCTAAGTACGTGGTTTTCGTATTGAAAAATTTCATCCGTGTGTAATTTCGCCTTTTGAGCATTATCTGTGGATGAACTAGAAGAATCTAGTTGCGGTTGTTCTGCATCGACAGAAGAACACGTTGCGCTATGTTCGTTCGAAGTACATTCCATCAATCCTGATTCTACCAAATCCTTTATATGGCATGTGCTACTATAGTTATTCGCTGAATCATAGCGCTCTGCGTCTACTACTTTCTGATCTTTATTATTTACGCGTCTAACACGTACGTTATCAAAATCATCGTTCGGAGAGGTATACCCTGTGACTTGCAATTCCTCAAAATCAGTACTCGAATTCTCGGACGTTGTATTTTCGTGTGGACTTACAGAACCAGTTTCTAAACCAGAATCAGCCATATCGGATAAAGTGGGACTTAAATCCACTGTGGCATACTCTCTCACATTTCTCGCACTTTTAGTGCCAGTTGTTGAATTGCAGTCTGTTGTTGTACAATTGGCATATCTTTGACATAAAGATAAATATTTATGAATATAAATTGAAGATAAAGTAAAATAAATTTCAAAATATTTTAATTGTAACCTTTTATTGATGTTGGAAATAGTATCAACACAGGATGCATTCACAAATCTTGATTGGCGAGTAACATTCAAAATAATGGCTACCAATAGTTGTTCTTCTTGTGAGCAGTTTGAATTGCTATATAAAAGCCTGAAAAAAAGCATGTAGTGTTGTTAGAACATACATAAAATAAGGAAAAGGTAAAGATATCTAATATATGAATTATTCTATCATGTGCATTCTATAATGTTTACAGTAGGAGTGACAAATGAAATACTGTAACATGCTGGTTGCTATAATTTATATTGATGGTCAAAGAAGTGTATACTGAATAATACAAACGTGAATATGGAAATATTAAACAAAAATTGTAGCTGAATACAAGTAATAAAATTTGCAGAAAAAATAGTTTCATTGTATTTACCCTACTAACAGTAAAATATTATATACAATTATTTAAGAACAATTTCTACATGTTATATATTAAACATCGATTTATTTGATAGTGTACTATAACAAAAAACGAAAATAAATAATTTTTGAAGAGGTTCAACAAAGTACATAGTATTTTATTAAAGAAAAACTTGTAATACATAATTTGTACAAAATGCATGCAAATAAATACGTTTAGATTTGTGTAAAAGGAATATATGAAACTTAAAATGTTAACTTAGGAAAATTTTGAGTTATTTTGTTTAACCACTACATTTGGTTAAAAATGAAATAAATATACTTTACACAAATATTCCCAAATTAAAGAACAGTCCATGCAAGTAGAATTCACAGTATTCCAGTAACAAGTACTAGATATATGATTGACGATATGGCGATACCTCACAAAGCCTTCAATGTGATGAAAAATTCCTGGATTATCAAGGATGCAATCAATGTGATTGTTAGTGTATACAAAATAAGACTTGAGGACCTTATAAAAATGTGGGGCTCTTGTTTTAATAATACACTGGTTTGTTCGTATTACATTATATCCATGTATTATGTTAAGATCACAATACAAGGAGCCCGTAAATATTCTACAATAAAACACTCTATTCAGTTATGTATTTAAGAACTTATATTTTGTACACATAATGGCTTTATACACACATTCTCATTGGATACAATTTAAAGATAATTATAAAGACAAGTTCAAACAGATGCAACAATTATTATATAATGAAATAAAATAGAAAAGATCCTTAATAATTTTTAGGTTGCTACGAATAGTTTTGCATTAGGAATGTCAGATATTTATTAATTTTGTACAATATATGCCAATCGCTTTGATATTCAATATTATACACATTAGTTATACAAATCACATTACATGACTAAGAGCAATTCACTGACACTTTAGATACATCATGCATGAATGTATAGAAATGATTATATTGTTAGGTTGAATACAATTTGATAATTATTTATAATGGTATTGACCTCATCCAATTCAGTAGCCTTGAAGTATGTTAAAGAGGATATATCACTGAATTTTCTGAAGTCAAAATTAATTATCACTCATTCTTAGTTTTCAATGTAAAATTATTAAAAATCTTGAGTTATGAGTATGAGTTTGTAATTCATGTGAATATAAGGGTGCTTAATTAAATACATAAAGTGAAAAATAATAAGTAATTTTAGTGTATTTTGAACTTAATTTATTCATCATTATTTAATCTTTTTTACTCTAAAACACTCAGTGATATACTCCTTTCAATATACTACAAGGCTGTTGACATCTGTGAAATTGGTTCTATTGTAAATAATTATCTGTAACTTATGTTTATTTGGTAATGAACTATTTTCCAAATGATATAACTAATTCTTAACAAAATATTTTTTGGCTTCATGGTAATTTTAATCAAATTAAATCTTAAATGTAATACTTAATAATTTCTTTATTTTTTGAACATGATAGTACAAAATTATTACTTTACCTTAAAATATTATTTTGTAGATCACTTAGAGTTTTTGCAACAATGCGGTTCTTCTCTGCTTCTTGGTACCTTTTAAATGTTTCACTTGAAGGAAGCTCAGGCACGACAGAAGCATACAGCTGATGGCAACGAAGCCATTGACATGTCCTGTCTAAATTTCCACTTCGCTTGTTGTTGCTCCTGCCTCCAGCCATGAGGCATGTTTAATGTTTCATACTTGTCCACCTTTAACAGACAAAGTAAAAACTCACAATGAATATAAAAATTGAAATTGACACATATGACACTTCTTCTATAAAATGTTGAAACTTAAAGAAAAAAAGGAAGTTACAAAACTACATACCTTCATAAATTTATTTTTATATATAGACATAAATTTTTAGGATGTAGTAACTTAATATTTATTCAAAATTAACAGTGAATTAATAATAAACGTAAAGAAAATTAATGATTCTCTTTTCAATGTATGCACTGCTGACGAAGTACATAAGAATTTCAAGGTCAATATAGTAGTACTCCTTGCATGACAATTACTATTCCTTATAGAGTATCTTTAATATCTAAACAATGATTCCAATTATTTACACGAACCGTTCATCGTTGCAAAATAAAGAATTATGTACTCAACGAAGAAATATTACATAATATCGTTTTTAGAACATCTTCGAAAACGTGTTGGATATTTGGTGAAAGCATGCAGCATGCCACTTTATTATGTTTAACCTTAAATTCAATGCGCAAGTATACATAAGTTTATGAATGAAATATCACTACAAATAATCGAAATGGAAATTCGAAAATTTTGCGAATTTAAAATACGAGATCCAAAATCAACCACGTACAAGTTTAGGACAATTTCAAGGAAGAATCCACAGTTAGTAAGAGATATTACGCCAAGTAAACGATACCCAATATTTGATTAACATTATGGGTTTTGCTATTCTGATAAACGAAATAAGAAAGAGAGCGTACTGTCATCAATCATAGTTTTTTGACATTTGAAAAGCACTGATCGAACACACCTTGCTGACTGTCATTCAACGCATCTTTCTGCATAAAAACCAAGTACGGTTTCGGTTTTAGATAACAGTTAATATGCGTAAAGTTAATACGTTTTGACAGAGTGAATTTACTTCGAGGAAATTACAGAATGACGGAATTATTTTTGTATAAATTGTTGTATGGCATTAGAACATCTTCGATATAATTTTGATAAGACTTTCTCAATAATTTATTGATCGCACTTGGTACATATACGTATGTACGTACCTCGCATTATTTCGGTTCTTGAACACCGGTCCGGTTATATCATGATTACACGTTGTTGTAAGACGAAATCTTCTCGCGCATTTTGTTGGACACGTTTGTTACAAAATTCGACGGATATTAACGGTACGACAATATCAAACGTTTACTTGTTTGTTGTTCGAAACACATAAATATGCGACGATCGTTCTCAATATGAAAGCGTGAGACAACTTACGGGCTGGCTACACCAGGTGACGCGCGGATCGTGATCAATTTTTTGTTTTGAGGTTATGTGCAAGAATGTTTCCGTCAAACTCTTTCGTGAAATGAACGTCATGAGTTCTAGCCTACGATGCTATATTGCGGGAATTGTGTTTACCTGATGAATATCGAAGATGAACACAAAAGAAAAGGAGAAGTATATCGAGGACTTCGATTTTCCTCATTGCGACGAATCCTCGAAATATGAGAAGGTTGCAAAAATTGGTCAGGGCACCTTCGGGTAAGTTCAATACAAAATTTTAATTCATGTTTATGTTATGCCTCGTGTATGAGTAAAAATTTGTCACTCTTTTTCCAATAATTATGATTGCTCTGTAGGGAGGTGTTCAAGGCTAGAGATAAAAACTGTACAAAAAAATTTGTAGCTATGAAAAAAGTATTAATGGATAATGAAAAGGAAGGGGTAAGTACCCACTGAAATATTTGATTGCTAAGTGGATAGTCATCCTTCAAAATCTTAAAAAAATTGTTTCGGAAATTTGTATATATTCCTGTAAGTTCTTTGCATGTTATGAGCATTAATTTATCGAATGATGATTTTCCATTTTTGTCCATATCATCTACCTGTTTACATAAATTATTTAAACAAAGTCAGTAACTTGTTATCTTCTTATTTTATTTTGAACAAACTTTCATACTTGCATTGTAATAAAATATATAAATTATATTCAGTCTTGTATTTGCAGGATTTGAATTATCATTCTAATAAACTGCAATGTGACATTAATTACTTTTCTCTTACAGTTTCCTATAACTGCTTTAAGAGAAATAAGGATATTGCAGTTACTAAAGCACGAAAATGTAGTAAATTTAATAGAAATATGTAGAACACGAGGTAAGCAAACATATGTTTTAAAACAATATTTTCTTATGAAAATACGGAATAGTTAACATTGAGAATTTTTTTCTAGCAACTCAATACAATCGTTATCGTTCTACATTCTATCTTGTATTTGATTTTTGTGAGCATGATTTGGCAGGTTTACTATCAAATGTAAACGTTAAATTTAGCTTAGGAGAAATTAAAAAAGTTATGCAACAGTTGTTAAATGGACTTTATTATATTCATAGTAATAAGGTAAGCATAGATAAATTGTGTGATTAGTAAAAAAATACTATACTTTATGAGAATGCAACTAGCACAATAACTTTTACATTATAGATTTTGCATAGAGATATGAAGGCTGCAAATGTTTTAATAACAAAAAATGGTATACTAAAATTAGCTGACTTTGGGTTGGCTCGCGCATTTAGTGCAAATAAAAATGGTCAACCAAATCGTTATACGAATAGAGTTGTTACTCTCTGGTATCGCCCACCAGAACTTTTGCTTGGTGATAGAAACTATGGTCCTCCCGTGGATTTGTGGGGTGCAGGATGCATAATGGCTGAAATGTGGACTAGGTGTATATACTTAGCAATTTTTTAAAAACTTAGTTGTATGGAAGGAATACCTTTTTTAATTTTTCTGTTTCATAGGTCGCCAATAATGCAAGGAAATACAGAACAGCAGCAACTCATATTAATTTCTCAGTTATGTGGTTCTATAACGACAGAGGTGTGGCCTGGAGTGGAGAATTTAGAGCTATTTAATAAAATGGATTTACCTAAAGGTCAAAAACGAAAGGTAAATACATACAGAAGGCACGCAATATATATCTGTGGACTACATAATCAAAAACAAATACTTTTTTTTATAGGTCAAAGACAGATTAAAGCCGTATTTAAAGGATCCTTATGCGTGCGACTTGTTAGATAAACTATTAATTCTTGATCCGTCTAAAAGATATGATTCGGATTCTGCATTGAATCATGATTTTTTCTGGACCGATCCGATGCCTTGCGATCTTAGTAAAATGTTGGCACAACATACGCAGAGTATGTTCGAGTACTTAGCTCCACCAAGACGTCCTGGCCATATACGTCAGCCACATCATCAAGTACCTGGGGGACCAGCAAAACCTAGCTCTAGTATGACTGACAGTGGTTACCAAGATCGTGTATTCTAGCATGTTCCGTTTAGATGAATGTATCTTCTGTTCTTTATTTCTTAGAATTGTGAATAATGTAATGTTTAACAACAACGGCAACAGTAACGTTATTACTTTAAGTTAACATTAAATGTCTGACTTATGAAAATAAGATGTACGATTTTTTTATGGATATATGTATATATATACGTGTATATATATATACATACATATATATATATATATAAATTTTATACAAACGGAAGTAGTCTCCTAATTTATACCTTACTTCCCCAGAAATGTCGGTTCCTTAATTGTTTTATGTCAAAACAAGATTTATTTTAATAAACAAATTTCAATTGTACAATTGTCTCAAGGTCGATAGTGTTAATAATTATAAAAGAAATCTTAAACACGTGCGAGCCTAAATTTACTAAGCTTAAAGTAAACAATTTTGAGTAGTACTCATGCAACGAAAGACAATTAGCGAGTTCAATAGTATTCAGCGATTGTTCACATAATTTCGCGTTCGCGTTATCGTGGTCATGAAAAAGCAGCGTTGCGCGTAGCACCGAGAAGAAGATATTTAATATGTACACGATCGTATGCCCGTAATACTTTGTTATTCTTATCCTTAAAACTATATCGTTATTATGCTAAAATACACTATCGTATTATCAATCTGTGAGGTGATTAAAATAAATGACGTGACAGTGGTATTCATCACCGGATATAAAAATACAAATAAAATTCTGTTAACAGTAACTGGCTTTCTCGTGAAAGTTCCATTGCTCGTGTTACGATCAGCGTATTAAATGAATGATCACTGTGACATATCGATGAAATGACGAACACACATTAATTATATCACATATCTATATATTTCTAATCGTCGTCGTTTTTAAGAAGCTGATCCAATGGATTCGGACCCATTCTCTTCGGTTTACTCGTAGACGCTTTCTCCGTGCTGTCAGCTGAAACACAATCATAAATATATGTTTTGCAATTTTCAGAGAAACATTTAAAAAATAATTACATGGCGTTGGCCGTTGCGCGTTTAAACAACTGAGCCACTCGGTCATACTGATCCTTCTGTCATTGTTAATATCACAATATCGGGGTAATCTTTTGCCACATCTCTGAAGCTGTCTATTGCTTGCCACCATTGTACGGAAACTTTTCCATTCTTTTCTTTCCAGAACCTGAATAAAAATAGCACATATATTTCCCGACTTAGACTTGCTGGATTACAATTTTTAGCTTCTTTAAAAAAAGCTATACATGCCTTGTTCTTGTTCTTATCGAGCATAACGAAGTGCCAAGTCGCTGTTTGTTCCTCTTTAGAAGCTTGCCACTTAGCTGTTGTTTCTTCAGAGTCTGTACTGGAAGCCTTCATCTTCTTTTGCATTAAATCCATTAAATCGCGCAGAAACAGTTGTTTCTTTTGCTCTGGACAACCTAGTATCGCAGTAACAATGCCTCGCTTAAATTTTGCGCTCGCACAGGGGGCATAGTTACGTACTAATTAAAATAGACATAACGAAAAATTTGTGTTTATATGTTATGAGTCCTGAAATAAAACTTCTTTTTTGAAGGGGATGCACCAGCTGAAAAGTCGGAAAGTTTAGATATCGTATCGTTTAGTTACCCTTCATGGGTCTGCTAGGGGTAGGTACTGGATTACAATTTGGAGTGCGGTCTTTAGAAGATGTTCCAGGAATCGGCTTGCCAGTATCTTGATAGACGCACCAACAGTAACCAGAGTAACATTGCACTCGGTGATACCTTCCATCGGGAGTACATTCAGGTACATAGAACTTCTCTTGAGAATGTTGTCTCTCGTCTTCCAACACGGATCGTCTATCCGTCAAACAATCATTTGCTAAAAATTTTATTACATTAAAAGGGCGAAAGGAATTTTATACCTGATTACGATATTCACGATCCTACAGTAAATCGTAGGGTCAATGGGTTAACTACGTCAAATTTAATAGTTCCCTAATTTAATACCCTAATGATTTTGAGCGATGCGTATACAAAAATACTGACCATCGCTATCTTCCTTGGTGTCCGTTGGATCATCGGTGAACGTTGGTCGAGAATGCACTGGAGCAGGATTCCCTTTCAACACTGTGAAAGACAGAGAATAAAATCACTACTCCAGCCATCGATTATAATTAAAGGAGTACAAAAATATCGGCCCTTTCACCGTGGACAAAATTCCGAGATTACTGTTAATAATTATGTACAAGGAAATGTTTAAGAAACTTTGCGAAATCTCTGACTCTTGAACGAGTGTACGCAGCGACAAGAATTCTCTTTCTCTGTACAGACTTGGCGATTGCTTCGTACAGTTTGTTAAAGCAGCGGTTAATATGGAAAACGAAACTCGTATTTACACACACGGTTCATCGAAGTCTTCCACTTTCCTTCGTCCTGCTGGTACAGAATTTTCGAAAAAAAAAAAAAAAAAAAAAAAAAAAAATAACCGTCACCACCCGACAAACGTGATTGTTGTATGAACTTCAGAGATGGGTAAAATTTTATCCGAATAGTTAAGAATATAGTATGTTATATTAAAAGTTGTGTTTGTTCGTTCTCTTTTTTTCTGTTTCTCGATGGGTTTATTAAGTTTACTCGGATAAGGGATTCGCCCATCTCTGGTACACGGACGTACTGCTCGATGTATTTTCATTATTTCTGTTTCTTCTGTTTGTACAGCGCATGCATGAAATTAGAGTGAAAGCATATTTATGAATGATCATTTATAATACAGTGTGCGTCGCCTTTCTTCCTCATAGTTTCTCAAACGGGTGGTGACGCACAGTTTCAAGGAAAATATTTTCAGACAAGTTTGTATATATACAGGTTAAAGGATGGTAATTTTACAGTAATATGTATAGTATATAAAGCTACAATTTTTCGATTGAGACCATTGCTATTGGATTGCTGCAGGGATGCTTGCGGATTCATCGTTATAATAGAGTAGCTATCTAGGATTACTAATAGTAAGTTATATTATTTTATTTATGTATATAAAATTAATGGCTGGTCATATGTATCGATCAGCTTCAACGAACAAGAAATCCGCGAGAATCCGTGGAGCAGGTGGACAGCAACGATAGCAGAGATTTGAGAATAGGTTGATAGAAGTAACGTGACAGTGCTGTTTGCAGAACTAGGACTCACCTTGGTCCGTGGCCCGGGTCCTCTGGGCCTCAGGGACCTCGGGGCGCTCGTCTGCGGGGTTCAGCGACAAGAACAAACGTACTAAATGATAACAATGATGTCACTCAGCCGACCGGCCTTACCTATATGTACAATGTTTTTTTGTCATTCGCGCATCGCAGGTTTTCTAGCAGAGCAGCGAGCGGCGGCGAATAATCGAATTGGTTTCTACAAATGTTTTTTCAGGCAGTAGTCTCTCTCGCGCGCATCCAAAGACCGTATTCTTTTACTCTACGGTAGTTATACACGCGAATACGCGAAACCCTCCTCTTTCAGAACGGAAGGTTCTCAAGATTTCCGTTCCCCTTTGCTCGTACCAGTTACAAATCGAATATACTCATGCGACGTCCTGGCATGTCGTCAATATTGACCATGCGATGTTCGCGTTAAGGGCCACAGACTCGGAGAAAACATTCTACTACGGTTACTGAAAGTTTCGCAAGTAGCTTCTACCAACTATGGTTAATTTTACAGCGGAGAGTCATTGTTTCTACACTTTTTTTTCATTGGTCAGTTTCGTTTGGTTAATTCGAAATGCGTCGATAGGTTTCGGAGCGAAGAAACTCCTTATTGGTCTCGAGAGAGCAAAACAAACGGGAGACTCGAAGAAAGGCTTGGGGATTGTATTATTTAATGACAATAACCTGTTTAAACGACATTACTTTATTCAAAGGCAAAATTACCCCTTTGAAACGTTACTATAAAATATAGTAATTCAAAGCCTTTCTCAGGGTGGACAAATTTTTGTTTACCTTGCTCTCAAGAGTAATCCAAAGTTTTTTCATTCCTAATAATAGAGAATTATTATTACTGGTATTACGTTAATGAACGATTTGATTAGATTAGAAATTCACTCTCCAGAATCTCTCATTATTTTGAGTAGTATAGCATGCATACAGCTATATAACAAATTTTCTCCGAGCCCAATTTATAAGTTTTTGCGATTCACATGCTCGGGGTACATCGTGCACGAAGGATTGGTTATTCGTACTTGTAGCTTGCTAAGGAAAGTGCGATCGTTTCTTTCTCGTTTGTTTCCGAATAAACGCGAGCGAATGAAACTCCGCGACGATACTCGAGAATAAGAGGCTCGCGTCGAAGCTCCAACAACAAGACGATGGATATCGACGAGTACAAGATACTGGGTCGCAAGAATGCGATTATTTGACATGCAATTGACCACTCTTAATGCTAACACTTCTGCATTGATACGAACGCGCGAAAGCGGAGTACTTGCTTTGGAGAAATAGAAGCATGTACCGGGAAAGCACTCTACTTTAAACGAAGAAACGAAACCTTCTCTATTCGCGATTCAAAGAAAACGTACAGTTATAAATTTCTATGTATAACGAGCATTTGAAACGAGAGATAAATCAAGCGATATAGTTGCTTTTCGATACGTATAAATTTCCATTTTCATTTGTTTAGTGTTCGTTCATAATATCGCCAACTAAACGAAAACCTTTGCAAGATGTGAAACCGATTTTAATCCATCCTATCCCAAACAGTTAAACGAAACACGACCTTCGTCGCTCAAGTACCTGGACCAGATTGACGTTAACGGGAATGGCGAGTTCCTGTTTCTGCGATGAAATGAGCGTTACACGTACGAAAAACCTCGTTAACTTATGAAACAAGCTGATAGTTCGCGTAGGCGCGGATTTACGAAGCGACGCGTACGCGCGGATTCGCGGAGCGACGCCGCCGCGCGGGCGTTTCGTTCTCGTAGGCTAGCCGCGAGGTACGGAGCATGTGCACGGGGTCAATTGCTTCAATTCCTCGGGTAGCCGGTTGCAGTGTGGGCAAACTTCCGGCAGGATTCACGAATGTTAAGCGGGCCGACCACAGAGACGGCCCTTGGCGTGCGCGACATCCTGTCGAGGCACCGCCTGTAATTTATGCCACGATTTAGACGCCGAGACGACGACCGCGACGACGATCTTCCGGTATTATCCTCAAACGACACGCAATAAGTAAGACTGTGAAATTTTTATTTATAGCCCCACGGTCCCAGCGTCCCCGACTGACCCACGTATTTCCTTCGGCAGCCACCTTTTGATTTTCGTTCGGCCCTACGCAGGAGCTCGCGCGATGGTCAGGCTGTCGCTGGATGGGACATGCGAGGGTTGTTCGTTCTCGTGGGAACTATTAGGGGGACCAGAAAGTAATGTCAATATTTGTTTATCATTTTTATCGATCTGACATTGAAAATTTGCACACTTGATAGCGACAGGTTTAAGAACGATTGGATAATCGATTAAAATTGGAAACTTGTTATAAATTTATTTGTTTGAATTTAATGTAAAAGAAACTAATATATCGAATAGGCGTGTAGTCTTTATCGCAACTGAGGATTGACAAACGACTGATGTGATTGTTATTGGACTTTGCTGTGCACAAAATTTTCGAGTTTGAGGCAATTTCAAAGTCATAGTATAGCACACAATAGCGACAACCTTATGACGGCCAGAACATGGTCCATGTGGTAAAAAGAGTCAAGGTGACTTTTACCTTTTTGAGTAAAAAGTATATTTTTACATTTAAAAATATCGCGAACGTGTAGCTCACCAAGAACTGATCAACTTTTGTCTAAAATATATTTTAATTGCACTACTGAAGATATCTGAAAAATATCTGAAAAATAATAATTTAACGGGTAGACCCTGTTTCTCTGTTTTTATTTTCAAAGGGAATTCAGAAGACAACAAACGAGCATCCCTGACGAATTCGAAGGACGTGGTGATTGCCGTAAGAGGCACAGAAAACGCCTAAAGCGCAGAAGATGAAAAGGAACCGCACCCTCTGCGCACGATGTGTTCCACGGCTGCTGGAAAATTCATGAGACCAAATGTTGACGACACCCGCCTTGTGAAACACGATACAGGCGATCCCGAGCTCGTGGAACCCAATACAGATGGCCTCAATCTTCGAGGATGTTCGATACGTCTCAGGAGATCCCAGAAGTCTTGAAAGATTCCATTGGTTCCAGGTGTACCATTGGTACTACGACTCTTAGGATCGTCTCGAAATCCCTCGAGAATTACGTGATCAGAATTCTAGTAAAAGTAACTTCATCCTAAACATTCCTACTGTCAAACGTGACTCGAACCTTCAGTCTCCAACTTTCGTAAATAATTCCTTTATTGACGTTCCTACTTTTGAGAAGTAACTTCAACCATAACGTTCCTACTTCGCGAAGCAGAGTACACGGAACGTTCTCTGAAGCAAGAGAGCTAACGTATATTATATTTATGTAAATACGATAACCACGTGGAAACAAACTATGCGATCGCCGCGGGGCATCGCTTTCTGTTGGTTTTGTTTCAATTTTTCAAGCCGTGAGCGGCGTTATATCGTCCGAGTTTATGCACACCGGGACGAGACGCGACGGTTATCGCGTGCTATAATAAAATGTCAGGCGATCGTAGACTCTGAACGAACGAAAAAGGAGTGCGACGAATTTCAATTCGACGGATATACCCCGATCGCGTGTAAACGGTAAATTACGTAAACATTATAATAACGCGCGTAATAAAACTAAGAACCTATGATTCCGTGCGTGTATAAACGATCCAATTTTAGATCTCTTCATCTCGATCGAATAAATTATGGCTTTTCGCAAGAAACATCGCTTTATCCGCTAATAAGACCGCGGCACGGCCATCTCTCCCGTTACTAATAAGCTACGATAACCATATACATCCGCATGCTAATTATTTAATCAGCTCCTGTAATTAGATCCACGACGAATTCGTGTTGCTTCAACGGATTCTGGGAATTTTTAATTGCGTAAAATACTTGAAGGTGATTCATTTAAAAGGTTGATGAAACGAAGCAGGAATATGGAATTCGTCGTGGATCTAATTTAATCCTTCGAAAGCGACCAAAGAAGCAACCTTCACCCAGGAAACGTGGAAAGAGGAGCACTGCGCGCGGTAATTGCTCGGAGGCGATTGCAATGCTACGCGAGCAGATAGATTAGCACGTGTTAGGCAGCGTAAGTATGAGCGTTGGCGTTAATCCCGATTTACGATCGCCATAAAGTCTAACCATACCTGAGAATTTAACACTGTTTACGTCTCGAACTTTGCGCTTATAGTGCAACGACTGGATCAGTTGCGAAGTGCAAGAAATGGAGTTTATTAACACTACGCAGTCCGCACATCAAATCGAGATTTTTTCGTTTGGTGCCGGTGGGACTGACTGATAGTTTTCGCACGACACCGGACACCAGAGTGTCAATAATTAGATAGAACAACTAAACTTGGCGTCGTATATCGAGCTTAACCATACGTTGTTCCATTCTTTGCGCGACGATCTTCGACTTCTTCCATTTTTTGCCAAAGGATAAACATACAAAAATAAGGAAACACGATATACGCGGAAGAAGATAAAAAGTACGATTCACATCAGAAGATTTTTCCTGCATGTTGATAGTCGGAATAATGTATCGAATCATAATTATTTGCCATTCTTTTTTTTATTAGTAAGGTGACTTATTTCAATATATGTGGTTTGCATTATATTATATCAAGAAGAAAACGACTATACCTCAGCTGTAAAAATTCTTCAAATAATAAATACACTGATATTTTCTTTAAATTTAATTCGAAAAATCAGGCTTCCAAGGGTTAATATAAATAACAACATGTTTTTATTGAATCTATTAAAAACAACGAGCGATAATGGCAGAAACTAATACCAGAGCTCCTAGAGGAGACAATCATTCATGGCGCAACAGCGTGGCGCCGCTTCGCAAATATTGCCGCGTTCAAAATTGATTTATGCATCGAATAACCTCGGCTGTGACCTTGAGAAAAAACTCCCGACTAACAGGAAAGCAGATTTAGTCGTGTTTACAGCGCGAGTTCCGCGGTATCTAAAGAGAATGTCCTTGAATGGAATTTCAAAGGGAATTAAAATTTTTGATAAAAGTTATTCCATCAGGTCAGGATTCTATATCTGTCACATGGACTAATTATTAATACCGCGTTGCTAACAGGTGAATTTCTCTCGTAATTTCTCAAATCTCAAACTACGTTATCAACATTTAGCGTTAATCTCACGTTTCGACTCTTAAATTGGGGTGATCCTCGGACCAACAATTATTGCAATTGAAATTAAAATCGACGAGCTTTGACGTGCGACGATTTCACACGGACAGGAAGGTCGAAGATCGTCGATAGCGCAAGTGTCATCCAACGGGCGAGACCCTCGAAGATCTGCCTGTATCTTGAGAAGCCACGTGCACCACGTGTTAAACTTACGAGTGAAGTCGTTCGCAAGGCAGGCACCCCATTCTTGCCTGGAGAGTTTCAAATCCCGATTTAGGTCGCACGTGCGGGCGAACGTGCGGGCACATTTCTTCGGTCTTACCGCCTTCTTCGCGAGCCTCCGGAGCTCCTTGTACTCGGCCCTGTCCAGGTAGCCGTCGCCGTTTTTGTCCAGGGTGACGAATTTCCACGACAACACACGCTCCACGTTCTTGTCACCTATCGATCAGTCCACGGCGGAAAAACGATATAAAACTAGTTCAGAAATTTGTGGAGGGCAGGCAAGTTCTTTCCGTTTTCCAAAAAATTTTTTTTCAAAAATGCGTAAATACTTTTGTTTAAAAACGAGGTTTTGACCTCGGCGCCCTGCTTTGCCACGTTGACTGCCAAACTGCTCACGAAAATTTATACGAGTCCAACACTTTGTTTCTATACAATTGAAACTTATTTTTACAATTTCGCCGAAATTCATGAATCCTATACAGATTTATTTTCTTAAACATCTCACGATCGGAATTCATTTATTTAATTCCGTCCTTTATGGCGACGCTTGCAGTCTTTGAAAAGTCGGAAAGAACTCGACCGAATCTAAACAACTAGACCACGGTATCGTTTCCTTTCTCCATGTATCCTCACCGTCGGTGGAGATGTTGGTCCGCCTGTACTCGATCTTGAAGTTCTCGATCAGGTTCCCGTTAAACTTGGACTTCTCCGCGCGATCGCAGGTGTTCCTGTGCTTACTGCTGTACTGCCTTCGCTGCTTCCAGTTCGGCGAGCGCCTCCTTTGGCCGCTCCTGGTGGAAGCAGCAGATCTGGGACCAGGTTTCAAACATCTTGGTCTTTGGTGTCTTACCGAGGTGTCGGGCAGCGGTCTGCCCTGCGGTGTCACGCACCAACAGTACCCGGTTTCCTCGTGACATTGCACCGGTGCGTAAGTGCCATCGGGACGACATACTGGTCGTGCGCCTGGCCTGGCGGTCAGCCTTGCGGAGAAACACGCTGGCGTCTCTGGATGGACAGGTTCAACGACGTTGTTCCTCGTTAGACGATATCATCGATATCTTTCGTTTATCGAGATCGTTAGAAACGATGCTGGGTGTATCAAAATCGAACGCTGGTTGCAGCAAGCCGTTTATTATCTTTGATATACTCGAGATGCGCGAGGGATCATCGTGAAATATTAATATTCTTGGGACTGTGAATCGAGGCTGTTGTTTTTTTATTAGTGATTTGAATAGAAACGTTTAAGCGTACGAAAGTTTTCGATCCTCAGCGTGGAAACGTGGTCGTTATTGGATAACAGACTTCGATTCGGACTAGGCATAATTAGTTCTGCTCTGTTTTTATAAACTCGCTTTTATACTTGTACATAATTTATATAATTCTTTTTGGGTAGTTTTCAAGAAGACCACAAAACTGTTGGTTGAAGACTTTAAGTAGGAATAATTATGTAGCTACGAATAATTGTAAATATATTTTCACATTTTCAGCATCGTTGAAGTATAATTGAACTACTGGCGAAGAATTTTATCGTTACTGTGAGTAGAATGTATCACCCTACCTGGACAAGGGCCAGTGTGTTTGATAAGAATAGACATGCCTTGACACTGCTTTGAGATGACCTGACACTGACTCGAATACGTAACACCGTCGCTCCCACATACCGGTGTGCTCGCGCCGTCACTCATTGTGCACTCGGCTATCCTTTTCCTGCACTCCTCCTAAAACACACAACCCACACCACGTAGGTATACATTAAGTCAACAGGTACTTGGTATCGAAGACGCGAATTTATTTCAATTCAAACGAAGTCGAGAGTTTATCAATTATTTTTGTACACCTCCAAGAGGGAAAAGAAGCTATTATATAGTAACATTTCTTCAATCCGCCAGATTTCTTATTTCTCTTAACAACGTCATTTATTCTTCTGCTAGAACCTGAAGAAGCCCACGAAAGAGCGGCTGAAGCGTTGTTTTTGTTAAACGATAATAGCTCCTTGAATTTCTTCCTAACGAATATAAATTGTTCAACCCGATTCAACGAGATCAAACAAAATAATTATCTTTAATTGCCGATAATTGATATTACGAGGAATATGTTTGATTCGCGATGAGTAACGTTCATGAATCACTTCGTGAATACCCTTAGCGTGTTCGACTGGTCGATGCTACGTTACGAACGCCACTTCTCGTTCATTGGAAGGATACGATGACTCCTCGTCGAGCGGAGCCGGCAAAGAAAGGATTAAAATTAAAACCGGCCGGATGTTTCGCGACATGACTAATTCTTTGACGATTTTCCTTGAATCCATCGACATCGTTCGGTGTTCCGAGAAGTTCGCCAGTGCATTATGCTATCATCTTTCGTGACCTCTCACGCGCGTCTGCGAATCTCATTCCTTGCCCATAATTGGCGGTCGTGTTCCAACCTTCGAAATGGTATGTACAGTACGGAGTAAAACTGAATCAATAGCGCAGATATCGTTGAAAAACCTTTGTTTAAATATTCTGGTCCTCGCCTAGGTACCTTCCTATTATTTGACAAATTTCTCACTTTGATATTCCTAATCCTTACTAAGATAAAATTTCAGAACTTTAATGCCTTCTTTATATTGCATTTTTCATCTTTCTTCAACTCCGCGAATATTATAAATCCTAGCATAGTTACGTGGTTCATCGAACTTTCATATAATTTAAATTCGAAAAGGGTCTCAAATGACCCAAAGAGTCCAACAAGGCGCGAGTCGTGTTGAAGGTTGAGAAAGAATGAAAATGTCTGCGATTAAGGTTTCCATGATTCTTGAACCGCTCGTCTGCGTCTTCCAGTCTTCGCAAAACGAAACGCGTTATCTTATCGTACAGGAAGGCGAAAACACAAGCGTAAATCTGCCCGAAAAGCGTCAGCTTGTTTATCGAACTAGATGACTCGACGCGCGCAGGCTAATTGCGAAGATTCCCCGATCGAAAGCTCCTCTACTTTAGAAATGATTCACTCGGAACAGCGTGGAACAGAGGCGTCTTTAACACGGTGGAGGCGCCTCTATCCAGTAAAGAAGGCGCCTCCGATCCATCAGAAGAGGCGCCTGGATCGTTACGTCATGCATTTGCAGCGTACGGTATGCGAAACCCGATTTACGATGTTCAATGCGCGACCGTGTCGGTAATAACGCCCGTCAAAATTATTGAGTGTATCGCTCGGAGTGCGTCGCTAATTAGAGAGCATGAAATACTACTATCATCTAAGCCAGTGGTCGGCAACCTACGACCCACGGGTCAAGGAGTGACCCAAGATGCCATAACAACGGTCGAATGAACCAAATACAACGTCAAAAATGCCATTAAGTAGTACTTCGACAACATTTATTTTGTCAACATTGCTACTATCGGAAGGAACTGTGTCTTTGACATGTTTACGCCGGCGCGGATTTTCAGTGTCTGTTTCCACCCCACGGTGCAGACACGAATGAACCATCGGTGATGCACGTTAAAGTGTTAAAATAACGTCAATATTAACGTTACTACTGTCAGAGATCAGTGATGGGCAAAACCTTAGGCTTAGAATGAATCTGAAGTTTGCCGATACGTTTGTCTCGTTTCCTTCTTTGAAAAATGTTCAAAACATCGGCACCCTTCAGATTTATTCGAAGCCTAAAGTTTTGCCCATCTCTGTCAGAGGTCATTTCAATCATAACATTCATGTTTCAATAAATAACCTTAATTTCGTTATTCTTTTATGGAGAAATGACTTCAACCTTCGCATTCGTATTTTAATAAATAAAAAAAGAAAAAAAAAGTCCAACTTCGCCGATAGAATCGAGTTATCCTCCAATAGATCTGGAACGCCCTGTAGATCCAAAGGTGGCGCCCGATCATTGGCGGTGCACGCACCCGCGTTCTCGGGAATGCGTAACGCCGTAGCATCGATGCAATACGATGCAATACAGCGTAATACACAGCGCAACGCGGTGCAGCGTGGGCATAATCGAACAACGCGTTGAATGCTAACTATCGACGATGAATGCCTAATGTGGCTCACTTGGCGCCGCCGCGGGCGCGATTGAAAAAAAAAAAAAAAAACGACAGACGCCACGGACGCGAAATTGCGAGCAAGGACTATTAAAATTGTTTACCAATTATTAAATATACCAATATTTAATAGACATTCGAATACCACGAATAAACTGGTAATGTTTTAGTATTTCGATGTCACTGTTCGAAATTGAATACGTGGACCATCGAAGGATTACAATGCTCGTATATCGATTCGATACTCCTGAGCTATTCGCGAGGTAGAGAAATTCCTCGCGGTATTTTGCGATCCTCTCCTATCAAGTTTTTCCACGCTGCTTTTTTTCCCCCGTCCGTCTTCAATAATAGCGCGTTACATACGAAGCGAATGCCATTGGAAAAACTGCTCTGCTATTTCCGGATCGCAGACGACGCCGCGGGGAAATTCAGCGTCGAGGAACGATTAAATCGAGCACGCATCAGGCGCTCGGTGTCAGCTTGTCGTTCCTTTTCTTGTAATCATAGCGGCCCGCTCGTTGCAACGAGATCAATCTATATTCTATCGTGTTACACGCAACATAGTGGCCCCCTTTGTGTCATTTTCTCTCGGCGTTACGTGTTACGACACCGCGTTTGTTCGATGCATCGTGCACGCATGCACGCACAGTGCACACCTATGGAATGGATTCGAGGGGCGTTTGATGGACGCTAGACACTGTGTCCACTGGGCACAGTATTCACGAGCTTATTCCTTTTATGCCGGGATAGATTTCCAGCGAGGAATAAAGGACGAACTACTCTTGACTATGTTGAACAAATTTCCTGCGATAATTTCAAACTACGTTAACCTTTCTGGTTCTATTTATTTTTAGGTTACCCACTCTTATCATATGTATGTTTCTTTTTTTCTGCTTGTACCACTGCTCCCGCCATCTTTATTTTGTCAGTTCTAATAATATATTAAAACTTATACAAGTGAATTTGAATCCTGTTTTTTATTTGCAAAAATTGATCTGCCTTAAAACTCGACCAGACTCGAAAGTGCGAGATTAACTTATAAACAGACTGCAGATTTTCATGCATTTATAAAAGATTTGAATGTGCAAGAATTTACAAGATGCACAAGGATACGAGAATACAAAAAATATAATATAAAGTTCATACAACGTTAATCGGAAATAGCTTCGAGAATAGTTACTTTCGTGTTTTAGCCATGAAAAACTGTGTCTATAGATACACGTTTGCATATGCTAAGCATTATTCGTTGCGTTTATGACGAGCCAATTCAATTTACAAGCAGTTGACCCTGTTGTCTCTTCATCCCCACATTAAAGTCTCCGAATAGCATGATATTTAATTCTGTATGTGGGGCACGTTGTAACCATTCATATAAATTAATGTATGTTTAACGTGTACGAATTGTGACGTATCAGAACGATCATCAACAAGCGTGTAGCGAACATGATCGTCTCTCCTAAAATAGCTACTAACAATTTATTCATCATCGATGCTACAAATAATATACAAATCCTACGAGTCTGAAGATTTGCATCTTTCTACAAATCTATGAATAAATGCAAAAATCTATGGATTGTTTTCCATTCAGGCCATTTTATCACACTTTACGATAAAAATCTCGAAAGGAAACGAGGTTTTGAAGAATTCTGTTGATGCTTCGTCGCTACCCTGTATCGACGTAAACTGCTCAGGCGAGCGAACGCGTGCAACCACGATGACATAACACGATTAGTAATTATCTACGGTGGTTAGAGTGGCGTTAGAGTGATGCACCTGCTCGCGCTATCCTGCGCCTAGAATCTTGTACGATAACCTCTGATATAGCATCGGGATGTGTACTAGTAGACGCTAAAAAAATTGTCTGCTACTATATCAACACTATCCCGTCCGGTAGCACCGCTGTGGTGGCATGCGAAAACTATCAGTTCAGTTCAGTCGTTTATTGAATTAATCAGCTTTTTATCATTGTCAAAGCTACTTCACTATCACTTTTTCTATTTGTTTACATTTGCATATTTCTTCATTCTACATGATTCCTACATTGTTTTAATACTGTTTGCAGTATCTCTTACTTCTCGTCTATAGAGACCCGCTGACCCCCCTCTGTAGCTCGGATACCTCGGGGTTGTTAAACCCGTACTGTAGCTTCAAAAATCACCGCTACAGCCCCTGAGGGCACGAAAATTATTGGGCAAATGCCGGTGGCGTCAGTCAGTCAGTCCTACCGGCGCTAAACGAAAAAACCTCGATTTGATGTACGGACGGCATAGTGTTAACATATTAACGGTCCCGAAGAACTGTTAACGATTATAACGACGTATGGTTACGTAACTCATCGTAGGAAGCGCGTAACTTAGAGTTCGAGGATTTTTCTGAATCGAATCCCGAGTTATGGCACGGATAAAGACACGTTGCGAGCTGGGTACGTGTATCTAATGACGGGTTCCCAGAAGGTGTCGTTTCTTTCTGCAGACCCGACGACTACAGAAACACAGTGATTTGTCAGTGTCTCTGATTATAAGGTCGCCATCGAGGGCGCTTGAAAATAGCGATTAACGTCCAGTCACTTATATATCCATGCCACCGAAGCACGTTATTGGTTATGGAACTGTAGTTTACGCGCTGATCTCGATAGAAACAATACGACCCACGAGCAGAAACCGTCCTGGATCGCGAAATGTAGGAACCTCGCTCTC